TTTTGGAACGTCACGCCGGTTAGCCGAACCGTGCAGAGTCGGTGCATATCAACACTCCCACTCACCGCTACTGCACGCCGTTTCTCTTCTTGATTCCACTTGCTTCGCGAAGGAGCGCTAGCGATTTCGCTCCCAGTGCTTTCGTAAGCATGTCAGCTAGCTGCTGCTTCGTGTCGATGTAGGCCACCTTGATTGCGGAACGTTCCACCTTCTCTCGAATAAAGTGGTGACGAATATTCACGTACTTGGTCCTCGCGTGATATCCAGCGTTGCTTGCAAGTGCAATAGCACCTTGATTGTCTTCCCAGATCTGCGTCGCTCCCACTTGTCGTGACCCATGTCCTCCAGCTTGGCACGTGTCCACAGTACCTCTTGAGTACAAAGTCTTAGTGCCATGTACTCTGCTTCCGCTGAGCTATGCGCAACCGTCCTCTGGTACTTGGACTTAAACACCGCCGGAGCGTTCCCAATCATGACCATGACGCTAGACACTGAACGTCTGTCGTCAATGTTGCTTCCCCAGTCTGCGTCCGTAAACGCTTCTGCCTTGCTAGCTTGCGCTCCAAATCCACTCGTTCCACTTTTGTAAACGATACCATGATGGCGAGTGGACTTCAAATACTGCAGAACACGAATCGCTGCCTTCCAGTGTTGCGTTCCAGGATTCTGAAGGAAGCGTGACAGCTGCGTGACAACGTAGGCAATGTCCGCCCGAGTACAGGTTGTCATGTACATGAGGCACCCGATTAAGGAACGATATGGTCGTGACCGGATTTCGGTACGTTCCTTTTCCGTAGTCGGCGGCATCATCTTGGACAATTTCAGGTTTGCTCAAGGGTTCTCCACCATCTTGGCGTTCCGTTGATTGAATCGTTCCACAATGTCGTCAATGTACCGAGTCTGCTTGATCATCAACGTTCCACAATGTCGTCAATGTACCGAGTTTGCTTGATCATCAACGTTCCACATTCTCTATCGTGGTCAATCTCCATTCCCAAAATGAATTTGGCCTCGCCAAGCTCCTTCATCTTGAATGCGCTCTTCAGGGCGTTCTTGACCTCGCGAATTTCGTCGCGCGTCTTGGCCGCAATGATCATGTCGTCCACATATAGACAGTACGCGAATGCGTTTTTGGAACGAGTTGCCATTCCACGTGGAACGAGCGTCCATGTTCCGTTCCGGATATGCGAATTCAGCTCTCACTGCATAGCTCGACGCCACTCTCCTGCTTCATCACTGGCAATAGCTTCTGCGTATGTGTTAGGCGTATCTGGAACGCCATCAATGCTGGCCGCGTACGCCAACACTGCCTCTGCGAGCAAACCATATTTGTCGATTCTGGCACGCTTAGAAGATGGCGGTCAATCACTTCCACGTTCCACATCTTCATCGTCACCGTTCCCAAGTAGAAGTAACGGTTCACGAGGGCGCGTAGATCGTTCCGTGTCAGGATGGAAGATTATCCGGTCCTCATGGAACGATGGAGTCTGCGAATGGAACGTTGCCAAATCCAACCCATTTAACCTGGGTTCCTCCGGCGCGGGTAGCTGCTGTATTTCTGCGTTCCGTTCCAGTTCAAGGTCGTCTATCTCAATGTCTTGAGCAGGCTCCTCTGCTTCGTCCATCGGTTCATCTTGGGCAGGCTGACGTTCCACTTCAGATATTGGAACGATCGCTTCATCGCTCCTCGTCAGATGGATGACCGTTCCTGAAGCTGGCGACTGCGTGTCATAGATTCCGCCCACCTCACGCTCGTCCAGCTTGACCGACCGTGTCACCTTGACCTTCGACGCATCCATGCCGTACACACGATATCCTTTTACGTTCTCAGCGTACCCGAGGAACGTGCACTTGAAGCTCTTGGGTTCCAGCTTCGTTCTCATCACGTCGTCCACATGAGCGTAGCCCTGGGATCCAAAATATACGTAGGTGTTCCATCCGTGGCTTCACCTGGAACGCCAACTCGTACGGCGTGACATCAGAGTTTGATGTGTTCGTGGAACGGTTGATGAGATACACTGCAGTACTAACCGCTTCTGCCCACCACTGCGTCGACATAGACTTGTAGTACATCATGCTTCTTGCCTTCCCCATGATGGTACGGTTCATGCGTTCCGCCACTCCATTCTGCTGAGGGCTGTATGGAACGCTACGCTGATGCACGATACCGTTCCGTTTGCATAGTTCCAAAACTGTCTTGTTCACGAACTCCGTTCCATTATCGGAACGAAGACATTATAGACGTTCCCCCCACTGGGTTTCGTACAATGCCTTGAACTCCTTCGGTTTACTGCCCACCTCGCTCTTGCTCTTCATAAAGTACGCAACGACAAACCTTGAGTAGTCGTCTACGAACGTCAGAACATATTTGGCACCACCCTTTGAGATCGTTCTCATTGGGCCCATTACGTCCGTGTGTACTAGTTCCAACACACGCGTCGTTCTCGTTAGCGATCGTGACGGGAACGTTGTCACGGTCTGCTATCCCTTCATACATCCACCGCACAAAGTCTCGTTCCCATTTTTCACATGTGGGATACCAATTGTGGAACGTTGAGTCTTCATCAACGTGTCCTTGTTAGGTGACCCATGCGAGCGTGCCAAAGCTCCCACTCGCTGTCAGGACAGGCGTATTGCACGAAGTGTGCCTCCTCCTGTTGACAGTCCAACAGGAACGCCTTACCGACCTTCTTCCCTGACGCTATCGCACCGTTCCGTCCCCAAATTACACAACTGGAACGCTGGAACTCCACGCTCATGCCTCGTTCCGCGAGCTTCCCGATTGACAATAACCGTCTATCGAGCCCCGGAATGTGGAGCACGTCCACCATTCGGATGCGTTTACCGTCCAAACCAGTCAACTCGACCGTTCCAGTTCCTGCGACGCAGCTTCTTGCCATCTGCAATCGTCACGTTGATGCCACTGTCTAGTGCCGCGTACCCAAATAGGTCGTTCCGGTGAGGGGTCATATGCGACGTCGAGCCACTATCAATCAGCCACCCGGCCGAGCGTTCGCCACCAACTGCAAACACTGCATCGTCTTGACTGCTCTTCTTCGCAGCAGGACAGTTCCGTTTCATGTGCCCCACTTGGTCACAGCTGAAACACTTGCCCTTGAAACCAACGTTCCGTTTCGGACCGTTCCATTTTCGATCGTTCCATTTTGACCGTTCCCTCGGCCATTCCGGAACTTGCCTGCGTTCCCATTCACTTGGAACGCCTTTCCGTGGTTTCCTTCTTCTCGAGTCGCTCGTACTCCTTCAACAGCTTTTCCTTCGCCTCGATAAGCGTCACATCCTTGGCGCTCTCACGATAGACGAAATGAGCTCGTACTCAACGGGGAGGCTGCTCAGCAGCACCACCAGCTGGCGTGACTCGTCCATGGGCTCACCCAGCGTCTGCAACCCGACGTTCAGCTCATCAAACGCATCCAGATGCTTGGCCACTCTCCCTCTTGAACTCGTGGAGGCGACGCTTCATTGTCACGCGGTTGTGGAGCGTGGTGCGGCTATAGAACTCTCGCAGCGCTCCTTAAGCTTCTATAGAACGAGTGGCCGACCGAATAATGGTCTGATGCTGGAGTTCCACTCCCTGAGCGATGATGCCGAGCGCATTGGCATCATTGAGGAGCCACGCCTCGGTGATCTCGTTCTCCGGCTTGACGGCTTGAATATGCGCAAGCAGGCCCTTCCTGGCTAGCGTCATGCGCATATTGAACTCCCATTGAAAGTAGTTCCCACTCTCTAGGAGGACTTCGCCGCGCTTGGTCGTCGTCATGTTTTGAAACGTTCCGGTAGAGTTGATTGCGGCTGTTAACCTGTTGTTGTTGCTAAAGGCAAATGCCGAAGTGAGTAGGCTAAAGTCAATTAAATCTGTCCTGTAAACTTTAGTGCTCCTAGCCATCCACCACATTAACTGGTTTGGGACCGGTCCATTTTGGAACGTCACGCCGGTAAGCCGAACCGTGCAGAGTCGGTGCATATCAACAACTGTGCTTTGCAGCGACTTTGGCAACACCAGATTAATTTTGCTGAATTTATAAGTAGCAGGTGCTGGATTTACGATAATGCGCGTTCATAAATCTGCGATCCACATTTCGCCCAGCTGCTCCCGTAGCTGTACAATCAAATAAGGCTGGATTTACCATCGGAAACGAAAGGTACTCGTGGCCACATCGATTACAACATATGCAGGTGGATTTAGACATAGAGCTAAATAAAAGAGATTTTTTTTTCACTGTCATTTGTAGTGCCTAAAATATCGGCAAAAAAACTGCAAAGATACTGCAGCACGTATGTAAAATACAGGTCGATTGTTTTAAAAACAAAACACGCAAAAACGGAAAACTAAAACCGGGTTTAAAATATGTTTTCTTAAATAAAACCAACCCATCCAAAATCAAACAGGCCCATGATTTTTTCCAGAAATGTTTCGCTGCTCTACCTAAAAATAATACCCTTTTTCAATTGGCTGTGAATAAAGCTGAAATTTGTGAATGCAAAGGTTCAACTTGCGTCGGCGATTTTTGGTAGCATTAGGTTTGTTATGGAAGCACCTTCTACGCTTAGCGGTATTAATCGACAAGGGTATCCATTTATTCCGAATCCATTTTCCTACGCGTTCATATACGTCATACAGTATACGTCTAGCGTACTTTGGGGCTTCATTAGACTGGTCATATGCGAAGCGCGGCTGGTAACGACCTCGTACATTATATAATGCCTTTCCACAGGAGAGCCGGGTAATCCCTCCCGGCTGCTTTTACAAATGCCAAGTCAAAACAAATCTTAGGTGCTATCCTGCAAAACAAGGTGTTTTGGATGCGTTGTCGTTAAAATATGATCTCTAGCTATTCTATGGAGAAAGCTCGTATTACTTGATTTCACAAAAAGTAAGAAACGGGTTTATCCAGCCGTGACTAATCAAGCCAAGAGCACTAAAACATTCTGAACCATTTTTTTTATTTTTTCCGTCGAGCACGACCTACTTTCAACCTCCGATGCGCGGGCTCATCGTTCTGCTGGCTATCCAGGCCACTGTCACTATACTTGTCAATGGTACTGATGCTGTCGACAGTAATACGCTCGCAGCCACTCAATCTGGGATCGACCAAGATCCTGCTGTTGCTGGCCATGTCGCCAACAACGTCCAGCGGCTACTGAGAAAGCATGAGCCTGACCATGATGATACCGAGCATGATACAGAGTCAACAAACGAAGAGAGAGTTCTTTCGGCAGCTGTTAAAGCATTTGCTGAGAAGCTCAAAGGCATCTGGACCGTCGGGAAGGTTGATGACGTAATGAACGATATACCCGAGCTTCAACGATTGGGGCAAGCAGACCACATCGACGAATCAATTAAAGCAATGCTCGTTGGCAAAAACATTTGATGATGTTACCAATGACAGGATGGCACGAATGATGACGGCGTTCCAAACGATGGATGAGCAGGGATTGAATCCCAACAAAGTGAAAAGCCTCATCGCGGAAAAGAAAGTGGTCTTGACGCCGGAAGAAGCCCATTACTTAGAGCCCTTATTCTCTGCGTATTGGAAGGCAGCCCACGCCGGAAAGAAACTGGAATGAGGTCGTGTGCAATGCAGTGGAGGCGGCAGGTACATAGGGACCGTAAAAAAAAGGAACATCCGCTGCCAGATTTAAGGCAGACATTTCACCTAATCTGGCTTTCCTTTTTTTTGTTTCGTATACTGTACCTCGATGTAGCTCTACTAACTAAAACTAAACTTGAGAAACTGGGGATGCGCTCCATCATGACCTTATTACAGCTTCTAAACAGCTCAAATATGCACATTTGAATAGATAATTGTTGACATTTCCTGCCTACTACAGTATTTCTCAACACTTTTATTTTTTGCCCACTTCGCTTTGAATGCAGCTTAACCCGATCAAATTCTCGTTGTGCCCGGAATCAAAATGTGCATTTACTACGTAATTACCATGATTTCAGTTTATGTACTTTACAGTATAAGTTAATTTGTACTACTACACCTGTTTGCACTCACATGTCAACACACGGCATTCAAACTCGTAACTTAACAATTGGCAAAAAGGAAATTACGGTATGAGCCTCTAATCTTACCCCCCTAGTGGAGTGTGGTCTGCGTCCGTCATTCCGTCCGTAACGGGCTAGGGTTAATAATCCTCACGCTCATGCGGGCGTTCTACTGGCTGCCGAGCGCAGCGAAGGCGGCGTCGATTGGCTAAAATCGGATTATGTGGTGTACACACTGTATGTGGACTACACATCGTACTTAAAATGCACAGCTCAAATTTCATTTTGCTTTCATTTTCAGCTGCGGTATGCAAGGCCACGCGAAGGGCGCTGCCTGTGTATTAGCTGAAATAAAAGGCGCCGATGAGCACACTCGTTCTCTATCGTCGTAGGTGCTGTTGATAAAATTTGTAGGCTTCGGTGACTCATACTTCGGCCTCAATCAAAACATTAGTACTTATTGGTTTAAATATGATTTGATTTGCTTCGTAGTAGGTTTGTAGTAATTTAACTTACAGTACTGTTTTGCGTAGTACTATTCTTAAGACATTTTATATTTTTGCTTGCAGTTATTTGTAGTAGTAGTCCACATAATTATTATGTTAACGTTTATAATAAATCACACTTCTACTACTACTATTAATAATTGATACTTTAGGATGTGAAAACTTTAAAATATGACTATTACGACTTCCCACCCGACACCCCCCTGCACCCCACACTGCCCCCGGGAAAAGTATCATCTTCCTCTGTATTTGCACACGACCTTAAGATATTGTGTGATCTTTCCAACAATATATGTTGTGTACATCAAACAAAATCGGAACAGCGTTTGTGATCAAGTTTGCGCGGAGGCACGCGACTCAGCAAGAACACGAAAAACGATGGGATAGAAGAGCAACACGAAGCACGGAACGTCATGGACGATGATAGAAGATTTAGCCGATGCAAACCACGAAGTGTTTTACGTAGCGTGAAAGATGGAAGTGCACGCAGCCATGGAAAGAACAGAAGAACGAGAATATGACGGGAGCGTACGGGCCACGGAAGGGAACTAAATACATAGACACCCCAGCATGCTGAAATGCACGGCTACGGAAGAGCACGCAACTTCGAAGCCACTGTAGAGCACGTAGCGGTAAGAGTGCAGGGACAGTAATTCGCCCATAGCACCACGGTACAACACGGAGCACAGTCGACCGACCAAACGTGAAAACGCGATGTACCATAAACGGAAGATCATCCGAGCATTGGGGCCCGATATTAGGGTAGAATCGGAGCTCACCGAGTCCGACAGCACGACACTACGGTAGCTAACGATCTCACGGACGACAGACCAACCGCAACATCGCAAGCTAACACGATAGCATGGACTGTGCCACTAAGCCATAGGGGGGCACAGCCACAGGAGCTATAGACGGGAGATCTTTGAGCCACGGAGGACAGTAGCACATTAAAACTCGATTGCACGGACGGCATACCAGCCACGAAAATCACGGGGGTGCTTGGGGTGACCACGATTGCACACCGTGGAGCACGAAGCCCATGTAGAGCACGATAACACGGGCAACGCAGATGCACTACGCGAGCACAATACCATAAATACCATTACCACACCGCGATTGCTCCATAGCGTCGTAACGCGGTCGATGGAATCTTGCCAGGAGAGCGCGATACACGGGCGACGGAACAACACGACTGCGTGGAGGCACCAAACCACGGATTAGGACCCTTCAGGTAGAGTACTTGGATGGGAAACCAACGACCACAAAAGACTATGAACCACGAAACCAGTGCAGCCCCCGTAAACGTTTGAGATCAGGAAATAGTTAGCATCCACGAAAGAGGGTCATACTACTGAGGAGCATGAACCCAAGAGAGAGGGTCCATAATTACAAAGCATCATGGACCACGGGTGAGCAGGAAATCACGATGCCGGGAAGATCACATAAGATCGCAGGCCATTGAAGAACATGACTACAACCTGTAGTACGGATAACCGAAATGTACCAAATCACGATATTGTACGGGTCCACATGATACTACGGAAAGGCAAGTGGTTAAATACACGATGCCAAGATCTACGGGGTGAACCACGCTCTCAAAACACGCGACACCAAGAAGCACTTAAATTTGCGGCCACCTCATCTACAACAAACCATGCCACTCCGCCGCGTAGCGGCGGCGAACGGCTAGTCTTACCCCCCTAGTGGAGTCTGGTGTGCGTCTGTCAGTCCGTCCGAGGGTAGGGTTAATAAAGGGGGACGCAAATACGCGCGTTCTACTGGCTGCCGAGCGCAGCGAAGGCGGCGTCGATTCGCTAAAAAGCTGTCAAGCGCAGCGAAGGCGGCCCCAATTGGCTAAAATCAACATTACGTTTTGTACACACTGTATGTGGACTACACATCGTACTTAAAAGCACCGCTTAAATTTTATTTTGCTCTCATTTTCAGCTGCGGTCTGCAAGGCCACGCAAAGGGCGCTGCCTGTGCGCGCGTTAGTTAGCATTAGTATAAGGCGCTGATGCGCACACACGTACTGTATCGTCGTAAAACCTGTTAAAAAAATGGTAGGCCCTGTTGACCTATATTTCGACTTAAACTGGAGATTTAGTACTTATTGGTTTAGAATGATGTTTTACGCTTCGTAGTACTTTTCTAATAATTACACTTACAATTTTTTTTGCGTAGTACTATTCTAAAACATTTTCATATTTTCTCTTGCAATTATTTGTAGTAGTAATAGTACACATAATAATTATATCAGCGTTTAATAAAAAATAACAACTGTATTACTACTATTAATAATGTGAAAACTTTAAAATATGACTATTGTGGCCTGCACCCCTGCACCCCACACTACCTCCGTAAGAAAGTATCGTCTTCCTTTGTATTTGCGCGCGTAGTGTGCGACCTTAAGAGATTGTGTAAGCTTTCCAACAATATATGCTGCGTACATCAAGCAAAATGGGAACAGCGTTTGTGATTAAGTTAGCGCGGAGGCACGTGACTAAGCAAGAACACGAAAACGATAGAACACCGACCCACACTATGTAGACGACGAGATAGAAGAGCAACACGAAGCACGGAAGGATGGACGATGATAGAAGACTTAGCCGATGCAAACCACAAAGTTGTATGCGTAGCGTGGAAGACGGAAGAGCACACAGCTATGAAAAGGACAGAAGGACAAGAATATGACGGAAGCGTACGGGCCACGGAAGGACACTACATATATAGACGCCCCAGCATGCTGAAAAGCACGGCTACGGACAAGCACGCACGTTCGAAGCCACGGTAGAGCACGTAGCGGTAAGAGTGCACGGACAGCAATCCTCCCATAGCACCACTGTAGAACACGGAGCACAGTCGACCGACCAAACATGAAGCCGCGGTATACCATAAACGAAAGTTCATCCGAGCATTGGAGCACGATATTAAGGTAGAATCGGAGCTCACCGAGTCCCGGAGCATGATACTACGGAAGCTAAGGATCGCACAGACGACCGACCAGCCGCGACACCACAAGATAACACGATAGCATATAAGGTGCCGCTAAACCATGGGAGAGCTCAGTCGCCGATCTATAGACGGGAAATCACCAAGCCGCGGAGAGCGATACCAGTGTAGAACCTGAGCTTACCGAGCCACCGAGAACCGTAGTACATGGGAACACGATTTAACGGACGTCGGACCAGCCACAAAAAAACACGAGGGGGGGGAGAGGGAGGGGGCACGTGTAGGGTGGCCATGATTGCACACCGTGGAGCACAATGCCATTGTAGAACACGATAACACGGGCAACGCAGATGCACTACGCGAGCACAATACCATAGACAGCATTACCACACCGTGATTGCACGATAGCGTGATACCGCGGTCGATGACACTTCATCAGGAGATCACGATGCACGGGCGACGGAACCACGACTGCATGGAGGCACCAAATCACGGAATAGCACCCTTTGGTTAGAGCACCGGCGATGGAAGGCCAACGGTCACGAAATAGTATCTACCACGAAGCCAGTGCAACCCACGTAAGCGTTTGAGAACGGAGAAAAGTTAGCTTTAACGAAAAGACCGTACTAAAGAGCATGAACCCACAAGAGAGAGAGGACAGAACCGCTGAGCAGCGTGGGCCATGGGTGAGCAGGAACCTCGAAGCCGGGAAGAGCACGAAAGAGCATGGACCATTGAAGAAAACAACACCCAACCTGTAGTACGGGGTAGCGGAAACGTTCCAAACCACGATATTATACGGGGCCGAATGAGACTACGGAAAGGCAAGTGGTTAAATACACGATGCCAAGATCTACGGGGTGAACCACGCTCTCAAAACACGCGACACCAAGAAGCACTAAGGTTGCGGCCACCTCAT